AAAATAAGGATCCTCCAGTCCAAGCATCAACAGGAAAGAAAGCATCAGGAGGCACCTATAATAAACAAGAAGCCTCATAGGAAGACCAGGACTCCAGCTAAGCCCAGAGCAGTAGCAGCTCATCCATCCAAACAAGCCCACAGAAAAGTAGCAATCAGGAGATTAACATTCAGAATAGCAGAGTATGTCACGATACAGAATAGAGTAGAAAAGCAAGCATCCAAAGTTTGATGCAAAAATACAAAACAGTTCAAGGGGGTTCAAATATAGTCTCTGGAAGATCCCATTCTCTTTGAAGCCATAAATTTGAGGGAGATCTCTGATATCCTCTGTTTAGATGAAGTTTGAGGTTGATGTTATCGATTACCTCTTTGTACATAGTGCCAACATCTTTGAAGGAGTTTCTAAATAACCGACAATTCCTTTCTTTCCACGTAATATATACAGAAGATGAGAGAATCAATTGACCTATAAGCTTTTGCAGGCTCTTACCATATAAATTTGTGGCACACCATTGGACAATTCTAGGCCAACTCAAGTGAGGCCATTGAAGATTACATTTCACTTGCATAGAGGTCTAGATTCTGAAAGTAAAAGAACACTAGAAGAAAAGGTGCTCATGGGTTTCAATGGCAGTCCTACAGAAGATGCATTGCGTTGATTGCAAAAGGCCATAATTAAAGAGCTTATCCTTGGTAGCCAATCTTTGCTGCACTGCTAACCAGAGAATAAAACTGTAACGGGTTATAGCACCTGAGTACCAGACCACCTTGGACCATTCTTGAAATTGTCCTTTACCTCTAAGGGCTTCCCAAACAGATTTAACATTGTAATAGAAAGTGTTTGAAGGAATCCATTGCACATGATCCTCCATGCTTAAGTTAGGCTTAAAGCAAGGGGGCGTTGCACTTTGCAGCTGAAGAAAAGCACCATTAGGGATAATTGGCCAGGACCAATCATCATTGATAATAATGCTGCTGACTTTAGCATTCCTACCAACCCAGAATGTTCAATATTTGTCTCCCCAATGAATTGATGGAGAGGACCCAAAGGATGCCAAGGGTCAAACCAGAGGTAGGTTGATCTCCCATTTCCTATGATGAACTTGATAAGTGGGAAAAATTTAGTTTTGAGCCTGAGAATTTTTCTCCAAGCCCATGAGGAGTTTTGTGGAATTTTGACACTCCAGAAACTTCGTCCTCTCAAAAGGTAAGACTCAGCCCACTTCACCCATAGAGAATGAGGATAATTGGTGACGATGTTCCAAAGAAATCTCATGACTGCAGCCTTGTTCCAATGCTCCATGTTCTTTATTCCAAGCCCTCCCTCATTTTTAGGCAAGCAAACATTTTGCCAAGCAACCTTTGCCTCACTGGCCTTGAGCTTAGTTCCTGACCAAAGAAATCTTCTCAAGATCTATTCAACTTTGGTTATTACCTTCTTTGGAATGATGAAAATAGAAGACCAATAAATCTGGATAGAGAAGAAGATAAAAGTAATCAATTGAACTCTACCAGAATATGACAGAAATTTGCAACTCCATGAATTCATTCTGCCAGTGATTTTTTCAACAAGAACTTCACAATCAATGGCCCTAAGCTTAGTAATTATAAGTGGCACCCCAAGATATCGAATTGGCAAATCTCCTTCACTATATCCCAGTTCTTGAAGAATGTCAAATTTTGTAGCATCATTGACTCTAGAAAAAAAATGTGGCTTTTATTAGGGTTTGGCTTTAGTCCAGAGAACTCTTCAAAAGCCAGCAACACCTCTTTGATGGCTCTAATTGACTCAATTTTGCCTTTGCTAAAAATTATAAGGTCATCAGCAAAACAAAGATGAGAGATCCCCTGCATACTACATCTCCAATGATAAGTAAACTGACCCAGTTGAGTAGCCATCTTCATTAGACCAGAGAAAGCTTCCATAAGGATAACAAAGAGGTAAGGGGACAATGGATCCCCTTGTCTAAGTCCTTTTCTACCTGCAAAATATCCGTTAAGTTCACCATTGATGCTAACTGAATACACAGGAGAAGTAATGCATGCCTCAATCCACCCAATGACTTCCATAGGAAATCCCATATGGCAAAGAATAGCAAGGATAAAATCCCATCTAACATTATCAAACGCTTTCATGATATCAATTTTCACAGTACATCTTGGGCTGCCTCTATTAGAGTGATAGTTCCTGAGGAGTTCTTGGGAAAACAAGATGTTATCTGAAATGTTTCTATTATTTATTTGTGGTGTTTGTTGATAACTGATATGCATGTCAATAGGAGACAGGGGGAGAGAGACAGAGAGAAGACAATTGCGTTTGGTGAGTGGCAAACCAATGTCGGCATAAAATATGGCGTATTACAAGGATGCCAAACTTTTACATATGCAAATGTCTTTACTCACTGATAAAAATTCTCTGAGGCAATTTAGAGAGTTCAGAAAGTGTTTAATTATCAAATCCACCGAGTGCCTTGTTTGGCAATGAGAAAAATAAGGAATGTACTTCTTGTTCTTACCGACATGTTAAGCACATCCCTCAATATATGCTAGAACACATGTGCCATCTAACCTTAATAAAGGTAGCTTTCATGGCAATTCCAAGAGAAGTTGCGAGTTAGTTTGGATGAAAATGTTGGCTAACAATCCTAAGGTTAGAGTTCTGGCAATCCTGCTGCTCTATTCGAGTTAAAAGCGATGGTTTCTAAGGATGTTAGTGGACCGAAGCGGGGGCGGGAGGCATAATTTTCATCCCGTACCCGCTTAAAAAAATTTCGTCCATCCCTGGTCCATCTCCGTTAACGGGAATACATTTCATCTCCATCCCCGTTCCCGTTCGCGTGTAAATTTTTAATCCTCACCCCCGTCCTCGCTTCCCCCAAGCCCAAGCTCAAGTTCAAACTAACATAATAAAAAATTCTAAATAAATCCAATATTTAAAAACTTTGCAACACACTATCTACAATGGTTTACCAAGCATAAACGGTGGTAAGAGTCCAAAAGTTTTTTAAGAAAACATGATCACATGCCTTCAGTGAAATGCATTTTGACAAAGACTTATTAATACTCTCTAGAACATTATATGAACACCACCAACAAAAGGCATCCCGAATACCTGATTCTTACATATATAGATGGCCAGAATATTTTGGAGATGAGCTTGATCAAGTTTGTTACTTCTATTGAAAGATTGACAATCTGAACAAGTCTATTAAATTTACTGAGTAGATGCGAAAATGTGTCCACAACAATGAGATAAACTAGTGTTCTCTTCTTGTTTGACTTGAATCTGTAAAAAGAAAACAAAAAAAGTTCAGTGAGAGAGTACAATAAGATAGCACGAGAGAAGATTTTTCATAGGAGTTCTTCACATCTAATGGAATTCTCAATCACAAACAAGTCAATATCTTTCAAGCCAAACTCTGAGATTCAAAAGTTAATTAAAGTTTCCCGCTATTATCAAATGCTATTTAGAGCTGATTCAAGCTATAAATCTTGTTTCAAAAACCCAATGAGTGTCTGTGTTCACATATGCTTTTTCAGGCACAAATTCGTCAGAGGAAAAGAACAAACACACATGCATCAGCCTATGATGCATCACTTAATTATACTCATTCCGTTCCTAAATATCTGTCGTTTTACACAATTTTTTTTGTTCTATAATATCTGTTGTTTAATGAAACCAAAGTATGATTAATATTTTTTTTTTCAAATTTACTCTTAACTTTTCAATGCATTAAATTAGGTGGAGGCTAAATGCCTTTTATATTCTTTTCCTTCCCAATATTGAATAAGAGTATTTTAGTCTTGTACAATTATTTTTTACTCATATTAAAACTATTTAATAGTTTCCTTAATCCATGTGTAAAAACTTTAAACGACAGATATTTAAGAATGAAGGGAGTAGTTGACAAAGCAATCATTGTGTCTCAGAATTAAGAAATTTAAAGGAGCCTCAGATATGAAACAATGATGCAGGAGAAATACTTCTTTGTGGATTGAATATATCAGCGCTTGAAATGCTTTAACCTATATTTATTAGTAGTTGAATGGTATCTAAGATCTGAGAGAGAGAAAAGTGATACTAGATCTGCAGAGAAGACCTCTATCTGAGAGAGAGAAAGAGAGAGAGAGAGAGAGAGAGAAATAGTATCTGATAGAGGTCTTCTCTGCATGTTATCTAGGATTATTTTTCTCTCTTTCAAAGAGTAAACTATTAAAATTTCATAGTACTCTGATGCATGTGCTTTGTTCAAATTCACACTGCCGGAGATATAAAGCAAGTGGGCTTTTTAAACTCCTAAAGCTATGGCACTTTCATGAAGAAATTTCTCCCTTCAAGATTAAGGACTGCCTACTTTATTATCTTCTAGTCATAATGGCACTGGAGCTATCACTGGTTCTTCAAATATTAAGTGTTGCTTTACTATTTCAACCACGGGGAACATCCTCTATGGCTAAGCTTGGTTGCCAACAGAATGTGGGAACATAACAATTCCTTATCCATTTGGCATAGGAGAAGGTTGTTACATGGAAAAACAATTTGAAGTCACCTGCAAAAATAGGTCACAGATGATGCTGGCCGGCGGATTTTTAGTATTGGAGTTGTCCCTCGATTAGGCATGGTAATGGGCTGTTTCAATGATCTTGGGAGAATTTCTGTGGGCTTATCGGATTACAAATTGAACCCCAAATTTAGTTATTCCCACACCCAAAATAAGTTTATGGCCTACATTACCGACCCTAAAAGTCCAAACAATACAAGTGGGTGTGTGTCCTTTTGTAATAACATTACAAACGTACAACGTTGGGGTTATTTATCATCTTGCTCTGGTGTGGGTTGCTGCCAAACTACTCTCCCAAAAGATATCTCCTCATTTGATTTGAAAATCATCAGCATGAATACTTTTAACTATTCTCGGGGCTGGCATTGATGCTCTGCGGCCTTTGTTGCCTGGAAGGACTATTTCCATGACACAATAGGACAGAGTTACTTTGACGATGTCCCCAATGTGCTTAATTGGTGGATTGAAAACGTCAGTTTCTATGAAGCTCGGAAAAGAGGAAGCCTTTTATGCAGCCGGCACAGCCATCGTTTTGACATCACCCAAGGCAAGGGATATAAGTGCAGTTGTTTGGATGGTTACCACGGGAACCCTTACCTTCCTAAGGGATGCCACGATATGCGTAGGCTTTTCTATTACAATTTTATTTTGTTATAATTCCTAAAACTAGCTTTTCTATTACAATTTTATTTTGTTATAATTCCTAAAACTACTATAGGATTCATTTTGCACATAGTGGAGTTTCTTTGCTACTTAAAAAAGGTTAAAATATTGCCTTCTTGATACTTTACAAGGTTGTTTTGTCTTCCTTGGGTAAATAACTTTTTATGATCCCAAATATCCCAAATTGTTTAAGAATGAGCTTATTTTTATGTGTATAAGGTCTCGAACACCCTCATGTTACAAAAATATTTGCCAAAGTGAGTTCTACACATTGGTTTATTTTGGTATGAGAAGAGACACACTATCATAACTTCGTGCCACACACGAAACGACTTATAGACTAGATTGAAATGCCTTAGTATTATTGATGAGTATAATGCTATAATATAGTCTATAAGTCGCACTTTCTTGATGACGACTAGAGAGCCACAACAAATACTGTGTGTCAGACTATGACACCAAGTGATTTGAAGCGACGGTAGAATTCACTTTGAAAACTAGTTTGTACAGAAAGGTTGCTTTAAGAACGCATTTACTGTTGTGAACATTTTGGTTCATAACATATTACCTTAAACTTGTTCTATAAAGTATTTCCATTGCTGTAGCATGATGAACAAGATAAACAACAATTTTAACAAACACGAATGAGAACTTATGCTATTTAATGTTATCTTATTATGAATCTGGGAGAAATTCTAATATTACCGTTATATTTTGGACTTCTTAAAAGATATCAATGAGTGTGAAGACCCAAACAACAATTGCCGAAGTGAAGCTATTTGCACCAATACGCTGGGCAGCTACAGGTGCAGTTTCCCACATGGTTATCAGATCTATCACAATGCAAGTGGATATTTTGGATGCAAATCTAATGGAGGAAGGTCACCATTTACCCAAATTGCCTCTTTAGGTATACAATTTCTCTTCTCATCTTCCCATCCTTTAACAAACTTTGACTGAACTATACTAACAAACTTTCATTGTCCCTTGCAGCCACGGAAATTGCTACTGGTGCTCTAATTCTAATAGCCATTGGTCTCTTGATGTACCACAAACTCGAACAAAGAAAGAAATTCAACATGAGGCAGATGTTTTTCAAGAGAAATGGGGGCTTCCTATTGCAACAAAAAAGTTCAATAAAAACCCGACTCTTCAAAACGGACAAGTTGGAGAAAGCAACAGACTTCTTAAATAAAAGTCGAATCCTCGGCAAGGGAGGAGAGGGTACAGTTTACAAAGGGATGTTACTAGATGGAACAATTGTTGCTATCAAGAAATCAAATATAGTTGATGAAAGTCAAGAAGTTCGAGTCCTTAATGAAGTTTGCATTCTTTCACAGGTAAACCACGGGAATATTGTCAAATTGTTAGGTTGCTGTTTGGAGTATGAGGTTCCATTGCAGGTTTATGAATTTGTCTCCAATGGCACATTGTCACAACATCTTCATTATGCCGGAAATATTTCAACAATATCGTGGGAAAACCGACTGTGAATTGCCGGGGGAATCGCCTGTGCACTTGCTTATCTACACTCATATGCTTCAATTGCTATTTTTCATAGAGACATAAAGTCTAGCAACATATTATTGGATCACAATTTCAGGGCTATAGTGTCTAATTTTGGACTTTCTAGGTCAGCACCCATTCACTGGACTCACTTAACGACATTGGTCGGGGCACATTTGGTTACCTAGATCCCGAGTACTTCTGGTCTGGCAAGTTTACTGATAAAAGTGATGTTTATGCCTTTGGTGTGGTTCTTGCTGAGCTCTTAACTGGGAAAAAGGCCATCTCAAGTAGTAGTTCTGATGAAGGTCTGGTTATAAACTTTTTGACATTGTTGAACCAGGATCGCCTGTTTGAGATTCTAGATGCTTTGTTGACCGACAAAAATCGAAAGGATGAGATTCTTGATGTGGCTGAGCTTGCTAAGACGTGTCTGAAAAAGAAAGGGAAGAAAAGGCCAAGCATGAAAGAAATAACAGCAGAGCTAGATCGACTGATAAGAGTACAGGAACTGCCATCGTAGCAACATAATTTCAAGTATAAATATTCCTCAAACTAATATTGCAAAAGGATTTTTAGAAAAGTTAATTGATGTTCAAATTGTACAGTTATGAAATTAGCTTTCTATTTACCCTGAATAAGGTACTCGATGCAACAAAGATACAACATTGTTTAAGGACAAATCCTGTTAGAAATTAAACTTGATTTAAATGGAAGCTTCTAATACATTTTAGAAACTACTAGACATGGTGAAATTCAAAGTCATATATGTATGTGAGGATTCATGTATTTGGTCATTCATTTAGATCTCCAATAGTCATCTTGAAAATGTGAAGTCATTAAAAATAGGGACATCAACTTAGGTAGGTACATGATCCTTGTATCCTATAAATACCCCTGTACTTCTCTCCTTCATCACTTCCTCCATTGTGTGTCTAGATTTTTTTAACAAAGTGGTATTAGAGCTTGGTTTCGATATAACCTTGGGAGTCTATAAGTGATCAATATTGTTGGCAAACATGGCATCATGAATGAGTATTGGAAGTTCAAATACAAATTTTTCATTTTGATGGAGAAGATTATGAACATTGGAAGGTCAAAATGAGGACCCTCCTCAAAGCAGAAGGGTTATGAATTGTTGTTGATAAAGGATACATCGAGCTAGAAGATGAAAGCCAACTCCAACAGGAAGTACTAAAGAAACTTGAGACAAATCGAAGAAACGATGAAGTGAACTCAACGAAATTCAGTGTGCAGCTTCCAAAAGCAATTTTCTCAAGCATCATGGGTGTTGCAACATCCAATGAAGCATGGATATAATGTCAAAGTTCAATTCTTATGGATAAAGGAAAAAATAAAAAATGTCAGAATATTTTTCTTGATTTATTGAAGTTTTCAATCAAATGAGGACAATGGATGAAGATATTTCAGATCAGAAAGTAGTTGAAACATTCTGAGCAGTTTGCCTGAAAGGTATGAGTATATTATTACTGCCATTGAGGAGTGCAAAGATCTTAGTACAGTATCCATTCGAGAATTTATGGAATCACTGCAGTCCTATGAACAAAGAATAATGAAGCACTCTGAATAGTCGGCGGAAAGTGCATTACAGTCCAAGTTCAACTTGAAAATATTCTCAAAGGAGGGAAATTCAATCAATGAGAAGAAGCAAAGCACACTAAAGGATGAACGAGCATGACTCAAACAGAAAAGGAGAAAGATAAAAAAAGAGTAACTTGTTCCCACAACTCTAAATTCTCTTGCAAGATCTGTAAGAAAAGAAATCGTTGGTTTCGTGGAAAGGTTCAATGCTCTCACTGCAAGAAGTTTGGACACAAAGAGGAATATTATAAATTTAAGTAAAATGATCAGGAAAATTTTTCCAAGGAAAAATAAAACTTATTTTATGGATGTTAGTAAGCATCCCATGACAAGAAAAAATTTTGGTACCTCGACAGTTACAATAGCAATCACATGTAAGGGGATGGAAAAATATTCCTTGATGTTGATGCTATGGTTACATCTAAGGTATGCATGGGAAATGCAAAAAAAAAATGCATGGGAAATGATGTTGTTGAAGCAAGATGAAAAAGGTACAAGTGTAGTTGAAACAAAGAATGGGCTGAGATATATCATAGATCATTAGTATCAAACAAGAAAATCAAAACAAATAAATAAAAATAATAAATAAAACAAAATAGCAACAAACTAAAACAATTTCATTTTTCACAACGTGAACACACATACATTGCAACATTTGAAAATTCAATTGAACAATGCCATATAAAAAGGTTTATAATTAGTGGAGAAATCATTTTCTCGTTAAGAAAAGTATAAATGATATATGAATTCAGAAGTGTTATTTTAGTCAATTTCATTGAATATGTGAAAAGAAGTGAGGGTCGATGGACCTAATTAAATTACATGTTTTCTACCTACAACACCATATATGACAAAATAATGATTGGAAGAGATAACTATTTAGTTTTTTTTTAAACCTCGACTATGCGAAGAAAAGGTTTATTCAAAATTTAAAAATTTGACAACCTAGTAATGGGGGGAATTTCGGCCTTACCCCATAATTTGACTACACTACCTTATATTCAACAATATTTAAATTCAAAAGATGACTAATCTTTAGGGAAAAATTCCTTAGAAACAGCCTTGTTTCACCCTTTTTGTATTCCTTAGAAACAGACTAATTTTGGCATTCTTAACTTGCCCAAAAAAACCTATGAATTAAACTAGTGTACTTCAATTTAGAATAAAAAACAGAGAGATGGAGAAAGTGGTTACACAAATTTCATTGGCTTTGAGGTTTCAATTTACTTCTTATACAATTTCAGAATTTTTTAAGTTGAAAAAAAAAAAAAATTCAATGGCCACTCACTTGTTTGCTGAGTCAACTGATTGTTATATTCAGAATAATGAAATAGACGATTTGTGAAGAATGTTAATTTTGAATCAACACATAATTAATGAGTTTTGGTTGACTAATTCTTTACATGAATTTAAAAAAAGACATGACCTACTAACTCCAACAATAAATAGATTAAAGTATTGTTGAACACGAATAAACTGAAATTGACAAGATAAACACATTTAATATGTATTGCCCTGTCATTCTAGAAATAATTTTTTTTTAAAGAAAAAATCAAAAAAAAATTATGGAATGAATCCAAGAGAATTACAAGAAGCAAACCAGGGCAAATCCCGATATAAATCACCATTTTAAGGCTTTAATCCTTCAAAACATATAAAAAAAAACAAAACTCCTTCACCTCCGGGACACTGGGGCCCTCAGCAACTTCGACCCATTTCATCAAAGACCAAAATCCTCCTAGTTTGAAGAATTGAAAGCTTCCTCTGGTCTTGTAAGAGCCAGACATTCACATCTGTAGGCAGTTGCCTCGAGCCCGAAAAATCACAAGAAGCTCTCACCTTCACAACCCAGTTAGCCAAACCATCAGCCACACAATTGGTTTCCCTATACACATGTCGCACACGATACACCATTCGATGGAGAGAACGGGCAATCTAGGCAAGTAACTCTAAACAAGGCCAAACACACTTAATTTTTCCCAAAACAGGATTAATCAACACAAAGGAATCAGATTGAAGTTCAACAGTATAACCCATCAATGTTGAACAAAGTTTGGATAAAAAATTATCAACCCAATTTAAAATCAAACAATACTCAATTTATGTCTCTACTTTTTAGGATTCTATCCAATTGTGAAATCAAATTTACGCCCTAGTTGCGTAACTTGAGATTCAAACTTCAATTAAATTGGATTTCAACTTAAAATTCATGTTATCTACCTCATAAATCTAACCTCGATTGAAGTGATTTTGATTCAAATTTCACCACTACTTGCATATCATCCAATTTCAAAATTAACCATAACTGACCTTCAAAGTTTCGAATTAAGCTCAAGTTTTAAAAATTTTGATTTAACTTGAGTTGATTTCAACTTGCCTTACTACCACTATACTAGATAGGTTGTGGCATGAATATTGCTATTTAAATTAAATAAATTTGTGGTTTTACTATTTTTATGTATTAAGGATGTTTCAGAATTTTGTTAACAAACTTAATTTTTTATTTTTGCAGGTTAGGAGGTGATGTGTGAAATGACATATCGATATGGTATAATTTGAAATTTGTCAAAACAATATAAAATAAGCCACTTGACAACATCAATGTAATGACATAAACTAAATTATTTTTAGTGACATAATTAATTTAGTTACTAAAAATATGAAAATTTTAGTGACGACTTGACAATCATCACTAAAAGAATAAAAATTTTATAACATCACCAATGTTGTCACTAAATGTATGAAAATTTTAGTGATGACATCGAAGTTACCACTAAAGCCATTAGTATTTTAGTGACGACATTAAAGTCATCATCAAAACTTTGAAACTTTCAACGTCGACTAATCTCATTACTAAAAGTAATTGTTTATCATTTTTGAGTGGCAACAGTAAAATTCATCATTATTTATCCAATTTCTCATACTTCTAGTGACGAAATTACAATGACGAACAATTATTCATCACTAAAAGATAACTTTATGTGACAAATAGTGATGTTGTCACTCATCCTAGACCATTAGTGACAACTTCATATGTCATTGCTAAAAGGGTATCATTAATGATGAAAATAACTTGGTCACTAAAAAATTTGTCACTAAAGCCCATAATTGTTGCCGTGGATGTTTTGCTTGTGCTTGATCTTGCACAAAACATTTAATTGTTGGACGGCTGGTGGAGAATGGGTATAATTTCATTTTGAAGAGAATTCCTGTAAAAGTTTGTGATCGAAGTGACCACAAGCAGGTCACAGTAGAGGTAAGAATGGAGAAAAATAAGAACTTTCCTATTGAATTTCACCTAAGAGCCCTGTCACTAAGATGTGAAGTAGTGGAGGATTCATGGCTATGGTACAAAAGATTTTGCCATCTGAACTTTCTAGGACTAAAGATGCTTCAAGAGAAAAATATGGTAAGTGGATTATGAGAGATTCAAACAAGGATGAACCCTTGTGAAGGGTGCATTTTGGGAAAGCAGCAGCGAGTCCCATTTCCCAGGGGAAGATCATGAACCCTTGTGAAGGGTACAACGAAAATTGAAGACATGATGAATTTGATTATAAAAAATAAATTTATTGATATAACATTTATGGTTGTATGTATGTTTCATGTGGTATTGCACATGATACTTTGTATTTTAGATAAAAAAAAAACAATTATTTATTAAAATTAGTGTTAAAGCTGAATGTGGAAATTTTAATAGAAAAATTTAAACACACTTTGCATTTGAACAGTTGCCAAAAAAATAAATAAATAAAATATCGTTAGTTATTAGTTTTTTTCTCATCTCAAAAAAAATAGAATTAGAATTTGACGTTTGAAAAAATTAAGTTTGTAAAGACATTAAGGATAAAATGTCTTTAACATAAAGACATCAATCAGACTGATGTTCTTAGATTAAAGACGTCAATCAAGTTGACATTTTTAATTTTGTAGGAAAACTATAATAAGTAAAGACATGAATATAAATGACGTCTTAACTAAAAAAAGTTAGTTTAACTGAAATCTCTATCTTTAAAATGTCAGTTCAACTTATATTTCTCTTTTAAAGACATCAAGTTCTAAAACTATCTGAATTTGTAAATTACTTTTACAGCCATCTGATTTTGAGTGTAAGCTTCTCAAACCAGCAGGATTTGGGTAAAAGGTCAATGGAAAGAGCAAAAACTTGGAATTGCATAATCTATTGGTTTCAAGTGATTAGATTGTCGCTTAGACTTGGCAGGGTACAAATGAAATAATGTTTGAACACAAATTTGATTTAATATAGGTAATTATTTACTTTTCATCATATATCAAAACATGATTTGAACTAACATTTTTCAAAGTAAAATCGTCTATGGAAAACACATTTTACTCTCTGAAATTTGGGGTTTAAACCGTGTTTTTATATGGCCAACACTAGATTGGAAACAACTTGGAAATCATGGTATAGAGTTAACAAAATAAAAAATAAATCTCAGTAGAATGGTAAGAAATTTAAACACTAGATTACGACAAGGATGGCTCTCTGTGCTTTCCACCACCCCCCTTGAACCCTAGATTCCCCCCCCCCCCCCCTCTCAAATCCTTTCTCATCCTCCCCTTGTTCCTTTCAATCCTCCCTCTCCACCCTGTACCAAGCTCCTTCACCCAGATCCCCAATTGCTTTCTCGCCTTCTCTCTCCTGTGTATCCTCTGCCCATCCAAAGATCCCGATCGCTTATGCAAACCGTTCCAGC